TGTTAGTTAATTTATAATTTAGATTAATTTTGGATTTGAAAAAATTAGGGTTTGTAGATTATATAGAATTTGGTGGTTTTAGAATTTTATTAGTTTGTGAATTAAAAAGGAATTTATTATTTAGGATTTGAAAAAGTTAAATAAAATTATCAAAATTATTAGTGGTTTATACTTATTTGAAATTTAGTAGTAGAATTATTAAAATTCTAAAAAATTAAAAATAAAAGTTTTTTTAGACGTTAACTATTATTTTTAATGCGAAAATATTTTTTAATAAAAAAGTAATTGAATAATTCATTTTATAATTAGTTAATTATTTATTGTTTATGTATATTTAAATTAATTTATTTCAAAAATTATTTATATTATTATTTTTATTAATAATAATTAAAATTTAATTTTTAATACTATTAATTTTTAATTTTAATTAAATTTTTTATCAATATTTTTATAATTTTTACTAAGGAACGATGAGACCCAAATCCCGGAGTTCCAGAGAGTTAGAGGTCCATTTGAGTTATATGTCTATTCAGACCCTTGTCCAGCAACCCAACTGGAAGCACTGCATCAAACTCGATTCGAAGCTGGAAAATGGAAATTGGTAAGATAAGTTTACGATGTAATTTATTTTAATTTATATTTTAATATTATTTAATATTTTATTTTTTGTTAATGTTTACAGGTTTAAATTATCTGTTGTGATCACAAAAGCGAATCTCCGAATGCTCCATACAATGTTGGGCAAACTTTACGAGATGTACAAAATCATGCCAAAAGTCGTGAAAGACTCTTGGCGTCGATATTTTGCTATAAATTGTGTAATTTTGTAATTAATAAGATGTTTTAACATTTTTGAATCATTAAAATTTTATGTGTCTTTAATTTTGTAGCAAGAGTTAACATGGGACCATACACATACCGATGAGGTGATCACAGCTTTCAACAAATACGCTGCTAAGATAATACTCGATACACATGTACGACCAGCCTAAGCCAGAAGCTCTCAATGACGACGTCTGGAAGGGCTTTTGCGTGCATTGGAGTAAGGATTCAATGAAAAAGCAGTCCAACAAAAACTCGAAGAACCGGAAGAATGACCAAGGAGGAAAAAGGATTTACATTCACAATGGAGGCACAAAATCGGTTGAACGTGAGACGGAGGAAATGGTAATTCTGTTATTCATTTTTTATTTTCTAATTTTTTTTTATTAGAAACTAATTATTTTTTACGCAGAGAAAAGCTGATGGGGGCATTTATATTATTAGATTTATATTATAAACAATTTAAATTTAAATTATTATTATTTAATAAAATTTCTTTTTTTATTAATTAAAATCGTCAGAAATTATCTGTCGATAATCTGTCAGAAATAGAACCGTCGTATTTCTGTAAGAAAGGTTATCAATGGATTATGGACGGAACATTTACGATGACTTTCCGACAATGTTATCACAGTTATACAAAAACAAATTCTGACAATAATTCATCGGATATTCGTCTCAAAGTTGTCAGAAAGTAAGTCGTCGGTTTCCCGTTATAAATTTTTGACTATTTTCCGACGACCCTTGATTCATTGGATATCCGTCAGAAAGTAATCGGAAAGCATGTCGTCGGTCTTTTCATCGGAAATTTATAACTAATTTTTGACTGCTTAATAATTTCCGATGATTTCTAACCGACAAATTTATTTGGTTGGAAATCCGTCAGAAAAGGTGCTTTTCGACAGATTAGCGACAGATATGGTCATCGGAATTGGGCTGTTTTCTTGTTGTGAATAACCTTACATTCCTTTAGAGCCAAAGGCTCTACTTTTAGAGAGTCCAAAGCCCAAACAAATGAGTCTAATTAATTATTGATATTCTTCTATTTTAATTATTGTACCTAGAAATACAACAGAGAAAATTTGTAAATAGGAGTAGTCGGGGGACTTTGGCTTTGGACAAAGTTTTTAGCTTTGAACATTAAAAAAAAGAACTGATGGACTATCAAGCAATAAACAGAGAGACTGTTTCTTAATGAGAATATATAGGATTCAAGAGCGTTTTAGACCAAGTTTTTTGCTGAGTAAACTAGTTTAGTATTTCGATCCTCAAAGAAAGACAAATGTTCGAGTCTAGAGCTAGCTGTAGTTAAGAGTGCTCTTGAGAGATCAAAACTTTGTCCTTTGCACCTTGCTCTTGTCCTTATTTTATACTATGATATTGTGTCTAACGTTTCCGACTGTTACATTTAAGTGTCTTCATTCACCGGTTTTAACGAGTCTTTGGTCTTGACAGGCTTGAACAATGGTTCTGTGTTTAATTCGCTTTGAAAGTATATATTAACTCTAGTAAGTTTTTCAGCACGATCTGTCACCTCGTTTACTCATTTGACCTTGCAGGTCTCTTTGACTTTGCTGACCTTTTTACCTTAGGTTAACTGAACTTTATTTACTAGGCCAGGTTTTTACCCCTCTAGTAATAAAATCTGTGTCTCGAATTGAATAAAAAATATATGAAAGTTGTAAAAAAATCATCAACTTTTACCACAAATGTAGTCTAATTAATTATTAGTATTCTTCTATTGTGATTATTGTACCTAGAAATACAACGGTGAAAATTTAGAAATAGGAGTAGATGGGGATTTGGCATTGAACTTTAAGAAAATAAGAATTGATGGACTATCAAGCAATAAACATAGAGTTTGTTTCTAGATGAGAACATATATTCAAGAGCATTTTGGACAAAGTTTTTGCTGAGTAAACTGGTTTAGTACTTTGATTCGCAAATAAAGACAAATGTTTAAGTCTAGAGCTAAGCTGTAGTTAAGAGTGCTGTTGAGAGTTCAAAACTTTGTCCTTTGCTCCTTACTTTTTTCTATATTTTATAATATGATATTGTGTTTAACATCTCCGACTGTTACATTTAAGCGTTTTCATTTACCGGTTTGAACCAGTCTTTGTTCTTGACAGGTTTGAATAATGGTTCTGTGTTTCATTCGCTTTGATAGTAGATATTAACTCTAGTAGGTCTTTCAGCTCGATCTGTCACCTCGTTTAGTCATTTGACCTTGCAGGTCTCTTTGACTTTGCTGACCTTTTTACCTTAGGTTTACTGAACTCTATTTACTAGGCCAGGTTTTCAGCCCTCTAGTAATAAAATCTATTTCTAGAATTGAAGAAAAAATATAGGAAAGTTGTAAAAAAATCATCAACTTTTACCACAAATGTAGTCTAATTAATAATTGGTATTCTTCTATTGTGATTATTGTATCTAGAAATACAACGGTGAAAATTTGTATGTAGGAGTAGATGGGGGACTTTGGCATTGATATTTAAGAACATAAGAACTGATGGACTATCAAGCAATAAACCTAGAGTTTGTTTCTTGATGAGAACAAATATATATATATATATATATATATATATATATATATATATATATATATATATATTCAAGAGCGTTTTGGACAAAGTTTTTTGCTGAGTAAACTGGTTTAGTATTTCGATTCTCAAAGAAAGACAAATGTTTGAGTCTAGAGCTAAGCTGTAGTTAAGAGTCTTGTTGAGAGTTCAAAACTTTGTCCTTTGCACCTTGCTCTTTTCTTTATTTTATACTATGATATCGTGTTTCACGTCTCCAACTGTTATATTTAAGCGTCTTCTTTCACCGGTTTGAACCAGTCTTTGGTATTGACATGCTTAACTAATGGTTCTGTGTTTAATTTGCTTTGATAGTAGGTATTAACTCTAGTAGGTCTTTCAGCTCGATCTGTGACCTCGTTTACTCATTTGACCTTGCAGGTCTCTTTGACTTTGCTGACCTTTTTACCTTAGGTTTACTGAACTCTATTTACTAGACCAGATTTTTACCCCAGGAAAGTTGTAAAAAAATCATCAACATTTACCACAAAAATGTAGTCTAATTAATTATTGGTATTCTTCTATCTTGATTATTGTACATAGAAATACAACGGTGAAAATTTGTAAATAGGAGTAGACTGGAGACTTTGGCTTTGATCTTGAAGAAAAGAAGGACCGATGGACTATCAAGCAATAAAAAGAGAGTTTGTTTTTCGATGAGGATATATATTCAAGAGCGTTTTAAACAAAAAAAATTTGCTGAGTAAACTGGTTTATTATTTCGATTCTCAAAAAAAGACAAATGTTTGATTCTAGAGCTAAGCTCTTGAGAGTTCAAAACTTTGTCCTTTGCTTCTTGCTCTTATTTTTATTTTATACTCAGATAACGTGTTTAACATCTCCGACTGTTTATTTAAGCGTCTTCATTCATCGGTTTAAACGAATCTTTGTTCTTGATAGGCTTGAATAATGGTTCTGTGTTTAATTCCTTTTGATAATAGATATTAACACTTTCGACTAAAAAAATAGATACTAACACTAGTAGCTTCTCCAGCTTGTTTACTCATTTGACTTTGCAGGTGTTTTTGACTAAGCTGATTTTTTTACCTTAGTTTTACAGAACTCTATTTACTAGGCCAGTTTTTACCTCTTCAGTAATAAAATCTAATTGAGGAAAAAATATAAAAAAGTTGTAAAAAGAAACATCAACTTTTACCACAAAAGCATGAACTAGAAGGAGAGTACGTAATTTGAAACAATCATAGTTTATTGACTTTAAAGTTAAATCATGAACTTTTAAAATCAGGAGATGGAAGTTGTCGATTTGGGATTTAACCAACAAAAACTAAAACGACAATGTATCGATTGTTTTTTTTTTTGTTTAGTCAACCAAAATTCATAACTTAAATTTAAAATCAACAAATTACGGTGTTTTAAATCAACAAATTATCCAAAATTGATGTTTTTTTTTTTTAACATATTTTCCCAAAAGGACTAGAAATCCAGTTGAGAAGATTTGCAATGATTAATTATATACGGCCAAATTTATTTTAAACCTACGAGATTAAAAAGTATTAAAGTAAATTAATTAAATCTGCATTTTTTCAGAATATAAATGTCGTCTCGGGTGTGCTGCTCTCCTACTACTGATTCACTTCTCTCTCTTTCTCTAGCTCGCTCGCTAGCTAGCTTCCACGGATCGAAAGTCTGCAATTCGCTTTCTAGGATTTCTCATTTTTCGAATTCGTTTTCCATGGCGCGTCTGTGAACAATGGCGGCTAACTCCGCAGTCTCTCTTCTTGATATCAGGCTCCGTCAATTCGGCGTTGGCACAAGTAATCATGAATTGAGCCTGAAAAAGTGGAGAAGTAGGCTGCTATGGTTTGATGGCGATCAAGCCAGTGCTCCGAGGCGATTTAGCTGCTGCGCAGATATGCTTTCACCGATGCGCCTCTCTGTGGCGGGTTTCGAGAACTCGGAGGAACGGCGTTTCGATCAGAAGACGACCGCTCATGGAGCCGGAATCAAAACTTCCTCCTCTGCAATGCCGTTTGCATCTCCCAAGTAAGTTATTTTTCGACTGTGCAGTGTAGAGATGGACTTGATTTCGCTCTGTAATTTGTTTCCATTCTAAGGTCAATTATATTTTTTCCAATCGAAATTCTTCCTTTGAGCACGAACTACACATTTGGTTTTATTGTGGTATCGGTCCTTGTGAAGATTCCTGTTCCAATTTAACATAAAAGCAGTGATATGTTTTAATGCTTCTGCCATGCCTTTTTTCCCCAAAGTTCATCTAAGAAATGTACAGTAGTCTCTTCATTTCAGTTCTGCTGCCCATTTATTTATTGATTTTGGTAGTCTTTTTTTTCAAGGTGCTAAGATGGTCTTAATCTCTTATTTTTTATGGCTGGTTAGGAAGTTTCTGATGTTGTTTATGCATGTCTCTATGTATTCAAATGACGAGAGACTCCTCATCAATTGTGGGTTTTAGCAGGTCTCGGTTTGTCTCCAAGCAAGAGAAGTTCTACCCTCGTTGCACTCCAAGGCTTACTGGCCCTCAGTCCCGTGATACTCCCCCTAAAAGAGGTGTGATTTACTTCTTTTTGTGTACTAGGTTTACCTGCATACCAAGTCATGTTGCTTATTTTACTAGTGTAGTGCCCATGCCATGTTTAATAATTGAGATGTCTTCTCTGACAGATTTTTTTTTGTTTTCACCTTGTCATTTTCATTACTCTAGACACTGGGATTGCTAATGAAAAGGATTGGGGCATCGATTTGTTGAATGAGAATGTGAATGAGTCTGGTAGTAATGAAGATGGCAGTACTTGGTTTAGAGAAAGCGGACAGGACCTGGGGGAAAATGGCTACAGATGTAGGTGGACAAGGATGGGCGGTCGATCCAATGATGGCTCTTCTGAGTGGACAGAAACGGTACAATTTCTTTAGAGATAAATTTGACAGACTGCCCTGGCTTTTCTTTTTATTATGGCTGTTGATAAATCCACACTTGACTATTGCTTGATTCGTAAATTGTGAGAAAACCTCTTGAGGTTAAGAAAATGCAAATGTTAGAGGCTTTATGCCTGTCCCTTAAATACTGTGTTCCATGAATTGAGTTATCCTGAGGTTATTCTTCGTAACCCCATGAAGTATCACCCCAGGTGGACGCGTTTAATTGGATTTATTGGTATCCTTGACAGTGGTGGGAGAAAAGTGACTGGACCGGATACAAAGAATTAGGTATTATCCTTATCCTACCACACTTGAGAGTGTTCATTTCTTATTACTTTTTGGAAAACATCATATCTGTATTTAATAGGTGGTAGACACCGGGAAGCGTTTCTACAAAGTTGGTTAAATAGGGATGTTCAATTGAGTTGTTCATTGGAATGTTATAAGTTGACTTCATCTCTGGCTCGTTTTGCCCCACTTCATTTCTCTTTTCTCTTTTTCCCTGGGTTTATGTTACTCACCCTACTGGAGTGAACTTCTTGTAGGCGTGGAGAAATCTGGTAAAAATGGTGAGGGTGACTCTTGGTGGGAAACTTGGCAAGAAGTCCTTCATCAAGATGAGTGGAGGTCTATGTTCAAACTTTCCCTTTTCCATATTTAGCATCTTTGCAAACATTTTTCTCAATGCTAGATTCTTATAGTCTTATCTAATTTCAGTAATCTTGCGAGGATTGAAAGGAGTGCACAAAAGCAAGCGAAATCAGGAACTGAAAATGCTGGTTGGTACGAGAAATGGTAAGTCAATAACAACACAGTTTGTTAATATACCCTGCAGTGTCTACTTTTGTTTGATATAGAGAGACTCTGCTGGACGAAAATTATCATTCAATAAAAACCAGGTGGGAAAAGTACGATGCTAAAGGGTGGACAGAAAAAGGAGCACATAAGTATGGTAGACTAAATGAGCAGTCATGGTGGGAGAAGTGGGGGGAACATTATGATGGAAGAGGATCTGTTCTGAAATGGTATTCTCTCACCAGATGAACATTTAGTCTGTGAGAATTTGAGATCAAAGAGATTGTGTTAATGGTTTTTGTTTTGGTTTTGTTATTGGTGAATTATTCAGGACAGACAAGTGGGCTGAGACTGAGTTGGGGACCAAATGGGGAGACAAGTGGGAAGAGAAATTTTTCGGTGGGATAGGTTCACGTCAGGGGGAGACATGGCATGTATCACCTAACAGCGACCGTCAGTTCCTTACTATAAAATTCTCTCATTTGACAATGTTTTTAATCCCGCCTAAACCAGATTATCTCACACGTTTCTAGGTTGGTCAAGGACGTGGGGAGAGGAACACTTTGGAAACGGGTTAGGAACTATTATTACGCAGGCTGCCTTTGTTTGTTTTCCTTCGCACTTGCATTTAGTGTATATTATTTTCGAAATAAATTAACAACATGCTTAAATTGGCATTTGAAGCAGTCGATGTCTAATATCAGATCCTTGATCACAGAAAAGTTCACAAGTACGGAAAGAGTACGACCGGAGAAAGCTGGGACATAGTGGTGGACGAAGAAACATACTACGAGTAAGAGCGAGAGAGAGAGAGAGAGAGAGAGCGTTTACATCTTAATAATTATGTGATTTGTAGTTTATTAGTCTATCCTGTGATCATGTTTTGATGAAGGGCTGAGCCGCATTATGGATGGGCAGATGTGGTGGGTGATTCAACACAGTTATTGTCGATTCAACCCCAAGAGAGACTACCTGGTGTCTACCCAAGCCTCGAGTTTGGGCCATCTCCGCCTCCTGAGCCCGACCAACCACAATGACATCGCCTGCGTTTGTTTAGAGCTTGTTATTAGCAGAATAGCCTTTTTGGCTGTTATTTTCCCTATAAATTTAGAACGTTGTGAATTATGGGTTTATATAATTTCTAATTCATTTGAGCTCATGCTCTTGCTCAAGTAATTGATATACTCATATTTTATGGCATATAGACATTCGTTTAGCTTTGCTTTTGTGTTTATCATCATGTTTTCTTACGTTTTATCTAATGTTCTAGCTTGTTTAGAGGTTCTTAAGTTGCATATACAGTAGAAATTTTATAAATTAATACTCAATAAATTAATAAACTATAAATTAATAATTTTTCATTGTCCCGAATTAGGTTAGTTCAAATTATAACACAATTCAATAAAATAATAAAATAATAATTTTAACAAAACATCTATGTAAATATATGGTTCTATTAATATCAGAAATTAATAATTATCATAAATAAAATTAAATATAAACATATAAATAAGATAATCTATTAAAATATGAGTTTAGTGTAATTTTTTATTTATCTTAAATTTAAAACTTTTTGAACTCATCTCTAATTTTAGAAAAAATGTTTTAAAGTCTAGAATCTATACAAAATCTCTTCTAAAATTAATAAAAAAAGATATTTTTTATTTAAAATCTATAAATTAATAACTTTATAAATTAATAAAATATCAAAATCCCAACATTATTAATTTATAGAGTTTTTACTGTAGGTCCTAATGAGTCTTGCATCACTTTGGAGTGTTTTCTAAGTACTCTGGAGACTTTGAAGGCTGGAAGACATGATGGAGATAGCATTGGACCATGTGGAGTTCAGTTTGAACCAGTGGAGAGTAAGGAGGATGAAAAGAGCAGCCGCAGCCAAGTGCCCTCGGTGTGACCAGCTCGAGGAAGCAGTGCCAAGAAGCAACCAGCCTCGGCGTGAGCTTTTTTGATATGATCATGGACAGCAACATAGATCAATGAGAGTTTGAACCTGAGGATGGAAAGCTTGTAGCTGAGCAAAAAGAAGAACCTTTGATCATTCCAAATGGACCTATGATTCGATCAAGAACCAAGAAACTCAAAGAAGCCGTAGGAGACATCACCAAGCAAGCTTACAAGACGGTTCAAGAGGGAAAAGAGTCTACAACAAATACATTGATTCTGATCCAAATTCAAGATGGCTAAGTGGCTTGTGATTTGATCTTGTATTCTTTTTTCCTATCTCTAGTTTTGTGCCAATGGGTTTTTTTAAGATAGGTTTTTAATGAGGCAAGGTTAAACCACTTATTTATCCTTAGTCCACTAGCCCAAGCCAACAACAAGTCTCGGCCAAGTGAAGAGAAGAGGAGCCAAATTCGAATTCAAACTTAACAACTGTTTTGTGTTGTTTCCGAGACTCATTTATGTTATTGGCTGACTTGTTCTTCTTTATCTTTGTCTTGTATTTTAATTTGTAAAAATCATCTTATCTTTTTATCAAATCTCTTTCAGTTAAGATCATTTGTTCTTTGAACATCTTAGCTTTAGAGTGTGTAATATATCTTTAGCAAAACCGATCTCAAGGTGTATCATATCCTTAAGATCACTCGGGAATATCAAGAGCCTTCTGCAATGGTAGACAAGAGTTTTTAGGTCTTGAGGGCTATCAATCCCTTTAATCAATGTAGTATAAAGGGTGTCAAACCAAGCATGTGGAAGCTAGACACTAGACTATATGAACTGTTTCTTAATTCAAGTAAACTAGTGAGGTTTTGATTAAACTAATGACTACTAAAGACTTAAACAAGATTAATGACTAAGCAAATGATCAAAACAAGTAGCAAATGACAAATGATATAGATATGGAATGATGGAAGCATGCGATTCTAAACATGATAGCTGGTTAGGGTGCTTTGGTGCTAAACTAGAAATGCTAATGACAATAATGAAACATGATTCAAAGGATTTAGAACTCTAATCAAGCCTTAATCTTCCCCAAGCATCAAGACAAAAATCAAGTTATTTCACATACTCAATCATCATTGGAGATCAAACAACAAGACAGCATTAAGAATCAGTTCTAAGTGATCATTTATGCAAATAACAAAACATCATCATGTGGTTAATGCATAAACCTCTAATATAGCTATTTCAGGAATTTCATCAAAAAATTGTGGTGCAAGAAAAACCCAGATTCAATATCACAAGTGATATGCAGGGATCTAGCTTAGAAAACAGCTATTTAGAGAGATGAAAGCATGGATCTAGCCCTAACCACTCCTAATCTAACACTTTAGCACTCTAACCTACACATAGAACCTCATTAGGTGACTACTCACTAATCATACTAATCTCTCTTAAACCTTTGCAAGTATAGTAGATTGGCATGATTAATGGATGGAAATGATGATAGAGAAGATAGATAAGACAGATTGCAGCTTTAAACACACAAAGATCTCTGATTTCTCTTGATTAAAACTCTCAAAAAAGGGATATTTCTCTTCAAATGAGTCTTTTTCACAAAAGAGGCAAAGAACAACAAAATCTGTAGGCACTTCAAAACCGCCTATCTTGACTGGCAGGTCCTCTAACATCCCAACAGGTAGCCTTACTGATCTATCAGCTAGAACAAGAGAGATTCTAGCAGGTTTGAACACTCTAGATCCAAGCTTTCTTGCTATAGAAAATGGCATTAAGCTGACAGATTCTCCCAAGTCACAAAGGCAGCCTGCAAATAGCAATGGTCCTATAGCACAAGGGAGAGTGAAGCTCCCTGGATCAGACAGCTTCCTTGGGACTGAACTTCTCTGAATGATGGCACTATACTCATGGCTAAGTACCACCATACCTTGTAGCTCTTTGGTTTTGTTCAAGATGGCATCTTTTAGAAACTTTCCAAACTTAGGCATCATCAGAACTGCTTCAATGAGAGGCATTGTAAGTGGTGTTTCATTAAGAGTCTTCTCAAAGAGTGCCCTTGCTTTATCTCAAGTGAGGTTTTGATTAAACTAATGACTACTAAAGACTTAAACAAGATTAATGACTAAGAAAATGATCAAAACAAGTAACAAATGACAAATGATATAGATATGGAATGATGGAAGCATGAGATTCTAGACATGATAGCTGGTTGGGGTGCTTTGGTGCTAAACTAGAAATGCTAATGATAATAATGAAACATGATTCAAATGATTTAGAACTCTAATCAAGCCTTAATCTTTCCCAAGCATCAAGACACAAATCAAATTATTTCACATACCCAATCATCATTGGAGATCAAACAACAAGACAACATTAAGAATCAGTTCTAAGTGATCATTTATGCAAATAACAAAACATCATCATGTGGTTAATGCATAAACCTCTAATATAGCTCTTTCAGGAATTTCATTAAACACTTGTGGTGCATGAAAAACCCAGATTCTAGATTACAAGTGATATGCAGGGATCTAGCTTAGAGAACAGCTATTTAGAGAGATGAAAGCATGGATCTAGCCCTAAGCACTCTTAATCTAACACTTTAGCACTCTAACCTTCACATCTAAAACCTCATTAGGTGACTACTCACTAATCATACTAATCTCTCTTAAACCTTTGCAAGTAGAGTAGATTGGCATGATTAATGGATGGAAATGATGATAAAGAAAATAGATAAGACAGATTGTAGCTTTAAACACACAAAGATCTCTGATTTCTCTTGACTAAAACTCTGAAAAAGGGATATTTCTCTTTAAAGGAGTCTTTTCACAAAAGAGGCAAAGAAAACAAAGGGATTAAAGCTTGTCCCTAGGGTAAAACCCTAAAAAAGTATTTATAGTCTCTTAAACGAACCGGGTCAGCTCAGGACAAACTGGGTACTGACCCTGCTTAAATGGGTAAAATTCCATGTGTGCGAGTTGGTCAGGTGCTTCCCATCTCGCAGGCCTGAGTCGCACAACCATAGAAACAGCCTTATGCGCCTTAAATCCTTCAGCCTCAGCCGCATGCCTATCTAGGTGTAAACCGCGAGTGTTTGTGCTGTTCAGGCTTTCTTTTCTTAAACTCGCACAACCAAGACGCATTCTGGAGAGAATATTTGTGCGAGTTTTTCCTCTTTAGCTCCAAGTCGCATGCCCAACTCGGTCTAAACCGCGGTACAGTTCACTGCTCGGCCAACTCGCATGCCTTAGTCGCACAGCTTGTGGACTTAGCATTTTTCCTGCTCGGGAGTCTTTGGTCTCACTCAGGATTTCCTTACCCGCACATCTCCACACGCAGCTCATTTCCAGAATTTAATCTTTGGCCGCTGCGAGTTAACCAAGACGCAGACATCTCGCACAATCTAAGTCTCCTCGGACCACCTCACCTTCGGGGGAGCGTAACTTCCAGGATATGGATCAAAATGGCATGATTCTAACTTCAGTGAAAAGAGCACTCAAATATCTCAAACTTTGGTGAAGAAACTTTTGGCGCTTGGGGATCGGAAGGTTCCCCTGACGGCTCATCTCTGAAGTGCATTGAAACGATCAAAAAGGAGCTCTTGGACCAGTGTTTACTCCGGAGACAGTATCTTTTAGCACATAGCTCTAAAATGGATGATCTAAGATGTTATGGACAGAGCACTAGGAAATCTTGAATCTTGATGAAGGCTCCGGCAACTCAATCGGACTGGAAAGGCATCGTCTCACGCAATCTTTGGGACTCATTAGATCGGTCTTGAAACTGTAGCGAAACAGGTGTGTCTTCTGGTAAGCTTAACTCTCAGCTCACGACTCCAACTCCAATGACTCCACCTGTTCTGGATCCGTGACCTGATCATATCAAACTTTTCTGAAGACCCTGTAAGCTGAATCGGACGTTAAAACTCCCCGGACAGGCAATCTTTAAGACGTATCGGATTGCTCCGGAAAGGATGCGAGACAGGTCTGTCTTCTGGTGGTCGTATCGTTTAGCTCGCTGCTCTAAATTCATCGATTCCAACTGTTCTGAAATCTAGACTCAATTATATTGATCTTTTCTGAATACCCCGTAGGCTGAATCGGCCGGCAAAACCTTCCGGTAACGTGATTTCAGAGATGTATCTGCACCCGAGATTTTTGGCCGAGAACCTTGAACAGCCAGTACGTGTTTTGACCGAGATATCTACCCGCGGTACATGAAAATCGCCGAGAAAAGCTTCCTGAGGTACAGTTTA